GAGGCACCATCTTATTGAGGACCTTTGCGTGCAGCTATAATACAAGACCATTGCCAGACAGGATGCAAGGCTGGACCAATTATGATCCTGATTGCGTCTGCAGCATGCATTTTCCTTGCTCCTTTACACTTAGGTGTTATTCCGGACTTACTGAGAGCTCTGTGGGCTTCTTTGGCTGTTGTCTTGTCACCAGTAGAGCTTACCTTCAAAGTGCTTCAAAGCAGCACTTGGAGCAGATGCTGAATGGCTCAGATAGGGTCAGCGAGCAGAACAGGCTGGTGTGAGGCTAGCACAAACATAGCAGCTTCCTCGTTGAGCCAATTTCTTTCTTTAAATGATTTTAATGTCATAAGGGGACAAAGTGTCCTACAGATGAAGTGACAAGGTGGACAAGAAAGGAGGGGTGAGATGTGATGTGGTGGTTGGCAGGTCCAGATGAAAGTCTGCCCCACATGCTGTTCAGAGCAGTATAGTGGTGTCAAAAGGATCCTGGACCCCCTCCTCACATACATACACAGACACAAACGCACACACATGCCACTCCATGTGTTCCTATTCTGACACAATGTCCAGAATTAGCTTAAGAGGAACCGGTGCAGCCAAATTCCCCAGTGCGTCAGGCTGACAGCACAGCTGTCTGTGTTCTCCAATCTCTCTGTTGAAACAGAAGCTAATGCCACTTGGCTCCACTCAAGCGTGGAGCCAGGTAGATTACCCAACGCAGCAACCCTACTAATGATCAGACAGCATCTTCCGACTCCTAATTGACCATACTACTTAATGTCAAAGGCACATGCAGGCTGCTTCATGCCTTCCCAACCTCTTCTGCTCTATCCTGCTTCTTCAAGGAAGTGTCTGTCTGGAGAATTAGTGAAAAGCGAGCAGGAATCTGGATTTGGGTAAAGTTGTCCGTCCCCCAGCTGTACCAGCCCTGCTGGTATTGCTAATGATTGCCTGTTGGCTCTGCAAGCCATAACACCTGTACTCACAGTGTACTCAGTCACCCATAACCGCCTCATGGGAAGGGGAGTGACAAACCACAAGTGTGAGTGGTACAATGAGTACTGAGTACAATGGCAAAAAGTAGAATGGCCACGTGAAGTGAAAGCTAAACAATTTATTTCAAATACTTGCACATGCCATGTAAAGAGCATCACTGGACCTCTGCTATTACACTGTTTTTTTTTACTGCCAGCACTTAGTGATTTCCCTGAAGTAGCTGGAGGGCAGCCTTGTTTTCTTCTGGCTTCCCCATCTCCAAGTCTCTGTCCTTCACCTTGTATCTCTGCTGTGTTAGCTTTTCACTTGTCATCCAACAGAAAACTCACCAGACACAAAATAATCAGTGGCTGTAAATCACAGTCTTCCATTTTTTCATTTGTTCTTGTACGTCCCATTTTCTCTGTATTTGGCAGGCCTGTTAACCCTTCCTCATTCTTCCAGTGCCCCAGAGTTGCCCAGAAGCAGGCAGTTTTGTAGGGTCAGCATTGATTTTCCATCAAGCTGCATTGCCTTCCTGGAATTTCATTGTACATACTGGAACGCTCAAGCAGCACAAGCAGTCCTGGACATGGAGAGCCTTTTCATAGCCAGTGCCAGAAACTGCCAGATGCTGAGGACAAGCTATGCCTGTCCTCTCTGGTGGGACCAGGCCCCCAGCATCTCAAGCTAAGCAGTGGCCTTGAGGCTGGGCGAGACATGGGAACATGGGTCTCGTCTAAGTCCAGTGGGGCACACTTGACTACCATATCAGAGAGTGTGGGATGACTCAGAAGGAAAGAGCATCTTAGTTTTTCATTCCCTGAGAATTGCTCAGGTGCATAGTTCCCATGTTTCACACACAGGTTAGCACAACTGGGTCAGCGGAGGGTTGTGATCTTAGGATTCACACTCAGTGGGTGTAGCATCAGCCAATATGGGGCAAACTTTAAAGAAAAATGCCATTTACTTATCAAGGCTAGACTGTGGTTCCTTCTCTCACCTTCTCTTTACAGTGCTGGTTTATGTGTTTGATTGCAACTTCTATGAGAACAACTTTAATTTGTGAAATTGCAGGGTTTTGTTGAAATGTTGGACCCTGAAATTCCCACCTTCAGAAGTGCCTGAATCAGTCACATTTCTAGAAGGATCTTAGGTACTCAGAGTTCAGGGCCCTGGCCTTCAAAGAAACACCTGGGGACCAAAACCAAAAGAACCAGAAGCCTGGGAAAGAGCACTACCTAGAAATGGGGTTCACAAGCTCCATTTGCTGTGCCAGGAGGAAGCACTAAGCAAAAAATGGGCGGTGAAAACCTCCTTCCCTCATTCTGATGGAGCTGATGGTTGGTGTGCGAGGCTGGAATTTGTAGCCCAGAATTACTTCAGGAGACTGCCGCCCAACAGTTCCTTTGGGTGATGGTGGAAGTAGCAGTAGTTCATACCTGTAAAGCTCTGATAGTGGTTTTCTTGCCTTAAAGCCTAACATGACTCATACACACCTCTACTGTCTTCCAGGAGCTTGTCCTACCACACTGGGACAGGGTTGACTTCCCATTCCCACTGCTAGCCATCACTTTTTGGCCACCAGGAACTCAGGATTCATGGCATCTAAGAGGGAGATGAACTGTTGATTCATGCTTAAGAAATTTGGCTGGGGACACAAGCATGGATGTTCCTGCACCCATGTGCTGACATTGCTTTGGGAAGGTTTGTTCTAAGCCACTAAATGAGTGAAAGAAGGCATTAAAAAGAAAATCTCGTATCGTTCAGACCCACAAGTTGCAGTAGCATTCAGTAATAGCATAGAAATAGTCATGGAGAGACCTACTGGAGGAAAAAGACACTTAGCGAAAGTCCAGATTCATCAGCCGTATGAGTGATCTGAGTTGGAGAAGACCATTAGTGCTTGTACCAAGCAATCAATAGAAAGTAGAGTGTACCAGTCCATTTAAAAGGCTCAGGCAGGCCTTAACTGCCTTGGCAGAAAGTGAAGCCTGTAACCTTGTTTCTGAGTCAGGTGCCTTTTGTGAATTATACAAACCCTTAAAGCATTGGCAGCTTATCTCAGTGCTGTGTATTTGTGGTCAGCGCTGGAGCTTTTGGTGTAGATGGGTGGAAGCTGGTTTATATTTAGGGTTGTAAACATTTGCCTCCATAAAACCCCACTTTATGTCTCTATGTCTGAACAGCAAAATTCACGTGGCCTGCAGAATACCAGCCTTTTATTCTGGAGACAGAGATAACCAATGCATTTGCAGGTTCCAGTCCTGAGAAATTACTCTGATTTAAGGTTTTGACTTCGATCCTGTATCGGTCTCTTTGTTGCTCATGCCAGAGAGAGTTATTAATCTGATCCTTTTTCTGCCAAGTTCAATGAGCATTTATTCACCTCTGCTGTCAGCAGGAGCAGGGCTGGGTGTAGTTTGTACGGGTATGTACTCTTCTCTGCAGGTTCCTCAGCTACACTCATCACGATCTCTAGGCATCTCTGCTGCTTATTTGTCCCTCAAAAAAAGGCAGCCCTGGACATGTGTCCCCTTGCTCTTACCTATATGGAAGGGACAGAGTTGGCCCACCTTGCACTTGTACACCGTGATACATGACAAATGGGAAAAGGTGCATTTCTCTCCAAGGGGAATAAAATCTGCAAGGGAAGAAATACGTCAGCACATTTCAGACACTGCAGGGGAAGCAGAAGCAAAACAAACTCACTATTCAGGTTCCCCAGCCAGCAGTCTGGTAAACCCCTATTATTCAGGCATGCCACAGAAATACTTCCTGATGTTTTCTCACACTCTGGAGAATGTTTTTAACCAGGCCCTTTCCTGCCTTACTGGCCCTATGCTCAACTTTTCCTTACAAGCCTCGTCTGGTGTTGCAGGGTGAGATTGAGGCAGTTAGCTCAACTTCTGTGGCTAATCGCTAACTCTACCCAACTGATTTTCTACAAGAAACAAGGAAGGGCTTTGAATCAGAAAACTGAATATCAGTTTATATGCAAACCCATCATCCATCCGCTCCTATCCCTGCTGGCACGGGATGGCCATCATCCATACGCTCCTATCCCTGCTGTATCCCATACAGCACAGACCTTGGATACCTGCAGAAGGCTTAGCTTTTGGACCTGAATTCTAGTTGTGATCCTGTGGTGAGAAGTTATTAAAAGAAATAGTCTCTCCTAAAGGAGAAGCTAATTTAAATGCCCTCTTGCACTGAATACATAATGAAAGCTTGACGTACTGTCCATCTTTTAAAGTATGCTTCAGCAGCAAGTAGAACATGCTCTGAAAATTTAAGCAAACAATATGCTGTTTAGAAATACAGCTGCAAAATATTTCACTTTTTTTTTTTTTTTTTAAATAAACCGAGCAAGGTCTCAAGAATCAATGTGAGATAAAAGAGAAAGTCACAGGGGGGACATCACCATTTGCCAGGAGGAAAAGCAAGGAAGGCAGCAACACGTTCTGCTGTAGGGTGTGTTAGTCTGGTGAGTTGCCGTCTAGGGAAACAGTAATAACTCAGGCCTGGTGTCAAGCTAGGTTGGACTAACACTAAATGATGGTGCTGCTTTGATGGAGACACTTTTCTAGCACCATTTGGGGCCCTCAGCAGCAGCCTAAGTAGGAAGAGAAAAGGTAGAAGGATAAATTCCTTTGCCTGACACAAAGCACAGCCTTGGGGTCCATGCAGCAGCTGGGTGCAAATGGAGACAAGGTCTCTGCTCTTTCTCTGCCCCAGATGGGTCTCATTCAGTAGCTCCATGACCATCTTAGCGTGGTGGTGTCAAAAAGCTGCTGTGAGTTGAGATACATTAGTTTTAGCTCCTGGTGACCTTGGAGGAAATGGGACACAGCTCATCTGGGCTCTGCAGTGTCCCTCCTTGGGAGATGGAGAGCTCACGTCCTTTGCTATTAATTCTGCTGTGCCTTTTGCCCCTATCAAATCTGGGGTTCTGCAGCTGTAGGGTGGCCAGCCAGGCTATTGCCCTAATTTTGCTTTTCCCTTTTATATCCCATATGCAGAGAAGCAGAGGGAGCTGGCTCGGAAGGGCTCCCTGAAGAATGGCAACATGGGAAGCCCAGTTAATCAGCAGCCCAAGAAGAACAACATGATGGCACGAACAAGGTAAAGGACTGGAAGAACACTCAGCTGTGCTCTACGCTTCAATCCCTAATGGCCACAGGATGGGCAAGGATGGTCATTAGAGAAAAGAATATTGAGGGGGGGTCTTATTAATGCTTACAAATACTTAAAGGGAGGGTGCCAGGGGGATGGGAACAGTCTTTTTTCAGTGGTGCCCAGTGACAGGACAAGAGGTAATGGGCACAAGCTTGAACATAGGAAGTTCCATCTTAACATGAGGAGGAACTTCTTTACTTTGAGGGTAGTGGAGCACTGGCACAGGCTGCCCAGAGAGGTTGTGGAGTCTCCCACTCTGGAGACATTCCAAACCCGCCTGGATGCCGTCCTGTGCAACCTGTTGTAGGTGACCCTGCCCTGGCGAGGGGGGTTGTACTGGGTGATCTCCAGAGGTCCCTTCCAACCCTGACCATTCTGTGATTCTGTGATTGCCATTCGCCTACTGCCAAACACACTGCGAGAACAGTAATGGCCCTCCCCAGAGCTGGCAGGCCCAAACGCTCTGTGCTATGTTGCGTCCCGTCCCCTGGGGAGATGCAGGGACAGCTGAGCCTGGGACCAGTGACAGTGCACCCTGTAGGATGCACAGGCAGCCCAGCCTGGTCAAAATCAGGGATTTAATAAAGCTGTCTTGCATGTTCTGGGTAGCCTCATGTAACACATAATCCTGCCAGTGGGAGAAGTATGGTACTGCTTCATGTAACACAAACTGGTTTAGAGCTTAGTTCTTCTTGGCTGCTTCTATCACAGTAGTTCCCTTGCTCTTTTTTGATGATGACCCCTTCCCCACACTGATTGACTTAATGAAGGCTTGTAAATAATCCCTCTCTGTGTGCTTTGCTCTACACCTCCTCCACACTTCGAACAGCATGGTAATACTTTGCTGGAGCGGCTTTGGCACATCCCTGTATGACAGCATCAGACAGTTCTACAAATCACTGTAAACAAAGACGTTCCTAGCTGAATACTGTCTTCTGGAGTATTTCTGGTTTTTTCCGTGCAAGCTTCAGGACACTGATGTGTTACTTACCTGCATTCAGGAGGCAGGAACACCCCTGAGCCCCACAGAATTGCATGCTTTGCACACTACTAGAAAAGTGTCAGGTTTTAGTGGAGGACCTCACTTAAAATGACGGAAGAATCTGCTTGAATGCTGGGTGTGTAGTGAGGAATGGGAAAGTTGCATGGATTACCATATATTAAGTAGAATGGGAATTGCAGGTCGGAGCCTCTTTGTATGCAACACATCCAATAGATGAGATCCCTTGTTCACATTAATTCCCAAAATCCAAAACATAGTCATAAATCATGCCAGGATTTTGTCAAGTTTTATTTGTAAGCCTCTGCAATGTTGGTGGGATACGCTGCATTGCTCCCTGCTCTGTGTTTGGTTGTTGAGACGATATAAAAGAGCCAGGCCCTTCGTGGCAGCAAGAATTTCAGCAAATGCTCTCAGCTGGGTTTTCCATGCCCGCTGTTCCTCCTTTTTTTCCAAATACAAGCTGGAAAAACTTGGTTTCTTTTGGCAGTAGGCTGCATGCCTGCTTCCTGAGAGGAATGGTAGCAGATTTGCTGCTAGAGAGATTTAGAAAGCCTGAAATTAGCAGAGGAAGATGGTAAGGGACAGAGGATGAGACAAGTACAGACACCTACCTATAAAACTAGTGATTGCTGCTTGGTGAGGTGGTTGTTTCAGAGCTGCCAATGGAAAGAAGAGTGATATGAGTGGGGAAGAGCAGAGCAGTGACACCTATTGACAAAAGCTTTCAAACAGCTAGCTCAGCTTTATTCCATTTCTGAACACCTGAGCACTGTTCAGAGGATACGAGGACTCCTCCACAGCCAAGCGAAGCCTGCTGGCAGTAGACGTGCTTTTCTTAGTTACTTTTCACACAGCTTTTAGAAGCACCCCTTGGGATTTGCAAAACAGGGGTTTGCTGCCATTGCTTTAGTAGCATATATAGCCAAGCTCTGTTGTTGCCATATGGCTGGGAGGGGTCTGGCATGGGGGACCTTCATCCCCCAGCTCCCTTTGCTTTCTAGGAACCAAGCTGCACCACAAGCACAGCCCCAGTAATACCTCAGAATGGTTCAGTCTGTGGCAACCCCAGGAAGGCAGAAATGCCTCAAGCTTGTTCAAGCAGCTTCTTTTCGTTGCAGTGTAATGGGAGATATTCCAGTGGGATACACTCCAAAATGTCCAGGTTATGGTTACTCTTTAAGTCTGAACTGCTGGCTTCCTCTGGTCTCTGCTGGAGGAGAATAAGCTAAAGCCAATTCCCCTTTTTTAACAGTTCTGCTGTTCTCATCAAATATATTTTGCTTCATTCAGGCAGAACACATTGGCTCTTGTAATCTCTACTCCACCTCTTCCTCTTTCCCCAAGGCTTCTCTTCTTCTGTATTATCTGTATGAATTTCTGACATCCAACCTAAGAACAGGTTGCCTTCACCATTTGGTCTTCTCCTGGGCCAGGGTCACAGGCAGCCTTAGAGGTGAAAGGATCTAGATCCATAACACACTCAGTCTCCCTAAGAGCAAATAAAATGTGAACAAGGTTGGGGTGATGCTGGCACACTTGTTATGAGCACAAGCAGAGCCCACAACACCACCCACACCACTTGGGCGCAGCCAGATATTTCAGTCCACTCTGAGCATAACCCGAGCTCAGATTTATGTCATAACATATGTCATGTTAAGTGAACAAAAACACCAAGGCAAGAAGCTCATACTGGGACAGCTGCAGATGAAAGCAGCTACGACTGCTACCCAGCTGTGTTCCAAGGACAGTGGGAAGCGAAAATAAGGACAATCAGGATGTGAGGGAAAGACTTAGATCAGGGCAGAGACATTATCAGAGATTTTGTCTGTTGCAGAAAAATTGAAGTTCTGTGTTATGAAGAAAAAAGACATTTCTTAAGAAAAAGATGTAGTGATTATTTTTTTTTCAGTCAAGTAAATTGCACCACAAAGGGTTCTTCTCCTAGATCCCCTGATAGTGCTTTGTTCACTCATTATATGGTAACAACCATCAGTGACTATATATGGAGCAGCGACTTGAAAACTGGAGAGCGAGAATGGAAGTCAGTACTTCGGATAGGGGCAAGCTACTGCTGCCAGATCACAGCTTCAGTTCCAGACTTCTTTGTTTTTTGACTTCCTTCCTACATGCTTCAGGAGGAGCATGGTCCCAGTACTATGAGAAGGGGTATTGAATTTTGCAAGTGGATCCCATTTTCTCCAGTCCCCTGGTGCAGCAGGTTGGAAATTCTGCATCAGTTTTAAGATTAATTTCTTTAGTCTTGCGTTTCAGTGAACACAGTAAGAAAATACAACTAGTCATGAACGTATGTGTCTGCTTTGTGATAACATTTTATATATTTTACTCTCCCTGAGCTTGCCCGTCTTCAGTGCCTGGCAGGCTTTTGTATTTTTAAAATTGTAATGGCTTCCTGAAATTCTCTGTGCAGAAGCATAAAAACGCTTCAGGTAGTTAGAGAGCAGTTGGAGCACGGATGAGATGGATTATCATCTTTAGATTTATATTTCCCAAAATCTTAGTGAAGCTTCGTTGTGCGTCATTATGTGTTGTTAAAGACCAGTTCTTCATTTGGGAGAAAAACTGAGTTAACCCACTTAACAAGGAGATTTTCATAACTGTTACCATTCCCAAATTCCCTGCTGCTGAACATGGAATCTTATTCCATTTGCTTGGTTTGGTTGATCTTGTTGGAAATATGAACTAAAGTCTTTGTGCAGTTTTGTGGATGAAATAACTCTGTTGTGAAGTAGATACCATTGTATTAATGCATTTTTCTTATCCTAGAAGCTCTGAAGCCTGTATTCCATTTCACAAACTCTCTCTCTGCCGATTAAAGGTGCAAAGTCATCGTCAGCCTTTGTAACACTTCTGATTAAATGAAAGTCATTATAAAATAATGGGATTTTAAAAGTGCTAGTCTGACTGCTAGCTCTTACACTGCACCCACCAGCTCATATTTCTCATATTACCAAATTCAGGACTGAGACCTCAGAAGTGTTGTGTTGGGGGGGGCTGGGTAGGGACTCAGGCAGAAAGACCACATCACTGATTTCCGGTAGTAGAATAGTAGGAGCACTGAGCCTCTGCCTTCCTCTAGCCTCCTTCTCCTATTTATTTATTGCTAGTGTCATCTATTCATTGCTAGGGAAAAACAGCAACACAAAAATGAGCAATGTGATATGACAAGGAGGTTCACCAGAATGAAGCATGGAGTGTCCCAACTGTTTTTTCTTCCAGGGAGGAGCGTACTCCAAAGGCACGTCCAGTGTTCATCCCTGGGAAACTGCTCTAAGCTACCCAGAAACAAAGCTTGTTTCCACTGAATTGCAGCCATTTAACCATCTTCACCGATAAGGGAGGGCTGGCAAGGAAGTGATGTGGCAACGGCCTGGCTATCATATAGCTTTGTCCTAGACTTTGTGTGGTACCGAGCTTTACTGTGTGGTTAACAGACGATGTTTAATGATTTCAGGCTCGTCGTTCCCAATAAGGGCTATTCGTCATTAGACCAGAGTCCAGATGAAAAGCCACTGGTAGCCCTGGATACGGACAGGTAGGCAAAGTGTTAATAAGACATACATTACGGTGCAAGTGAGCTTTCATACCAGAGTGCAGCACTGAAGCTAACTCCTGCTGCCACTCTTGCAGGCCACTCGCAGTCTTCCTTGCTGAGCCCTTTGGTGTACGCCATAACTGGTCTGTGTGTGTAAACAAGTAGGAAGAGATGTGACTAAAGAGCACTTTGATAAAAAGGTCTGAGGGTCACAGATTAAAGTTACTCTCTAGACTCCCTTGTGCCTCAAGGACAGCTTCATGGCACAAGAAAGATAGGGCTAACCAGGGAATACAGGTTTCTCTAACTGTTTCCTTCTTTGCTGTATCTCGTCCTTCCCTGCAGTGATGATGACTTTGATATGTCCAGATATTCCTCCTCGGGATACTCATCAGCTGAGGTGAGTTATACTCTTTCCTGCCGTCCTTACCATGAATGCAAATAGTAGAGCAGCCAGAAACGGCTTAAGGTGGCCTTGTGCTGCCAAAACAGGCTACACAAGGAATTTACCAGTCCTATAGACTCTGTGATTCTGGAAGGGGCCATGGCAGAAACTGTGTCATGTTTCTTTCTTCCCTGGTGATCCAGTTGGCTCCGTCCCCACACTGCCATGGCACAGTTGCAGATCTGCGTGTTGGCTGTTTTCACAGCTACCTTTGGCTTCACTCAAGATTTTCCCAGTTCTGCTCAGTCCTGCAGTGTTGGCCCATGCGGTGCAAAAGCATCAACTTGTCTGTCACGCCAGCTCAGCAGCCATATGCTTGCCAAGGACACAAATAAAGGATCTGAGGGTGTGCTGTGATTTCCAGTTCTTGGGGAGGGTCAGGGTCACGCAGTGCATGTTTACTTGGAGCAGGCAGAAATTCCAGGGAGGGCTTGCAGATATGAACTCTTGTCCTTTCATAGAGGAAAGGCAGGAAGCTCAGACTTGTTAATCCCTCTGCATTGTTTCTGAATATATTCCCAAGCTCTCTCCTGAATTAGTTGCTCAGCCTCTGGCGACTGCTTCTGCAGGACCTGATTTTACATCCAGGGTGCTGAGCAGCCATTCTGCACATAAGCTGCTGGGAACTCTTTAACCTTTTATTCCTTCCTTGGGCAAAATACCTCTGAAACACAGAGAAACGGCCAAGAACAAGAACCAGATCAAACAATCCGGGCCGTCTCTGGGCCCTGATGAAGTGATGTTCACCCAGATCTAGTTAGACAGCGCTTGAATCTGAGATTACAAAGAGCCAAGAGGCTTTACCACCTTTCAACTGCTATAGTGTGCCCCAGACTGAGAGGAGGGATTGCCCAGCTGCCAGTGGTTTATTATGATTATTATTACATTACTTTAAATGAGGGCTTGTCTTCATGGAAAGATTATTCCAGAATAAAATAGTTTATTAACTTGCTACTCTGGAATATCTCACTCTAAATACTCCTATTCTGGAAGAAACTAGACTCTTTCATTGGTGGGGCAGCTGCTGATGATGGGGAAATATATTCCAGAATAAGGAACCTCCTTCATCTTCCGACCATCAAAAGGAAGAATTGTCAAGTGTTTGACTGTTTGTCTCTTTGTCTGTAGCAGATCAACCAAGACTTGAACATCCAGCTGCTAAAGGATGGGTACCGGTTAGATGAGATCCCAGATGATGAGGACCTCGACCTAATCCCCCCTAAATCGGTCAACTCTACCTGCATGTGTTGCCAAGCCACCTCCTCCACCACCTGTCACATCCAGTAGTGAGGCCGGCAGGCTGTGTTCAGTGCTTTCCACTATAACTGTAAAACATAACAGCCATTGCTTCCTCCTATGGTAGGACGTACACTTCTTTGTGTTCATGGAGCCAGGAGAAACCAAAAAATGCATTTTATGATTGGTTGATAAGTTATTTTAAACTATGGTTAAGCAAAAGAGAAGTTGCTCAAAGTGCCAGGCAGTGCCTGGCAGAACTGACTGGTCTGGAGAGCGAATACAGAGGGGTCCAGAGATACCTTCTTGATTTGTCTAGGCACTGGGGATATTTTGTAAGGTGCCTGTTTCAAAACGGGAAGGGTCAGACGGGCCTGTAGGTAATCCTGCCCACCAAAACCAGTCCATCTGTGAGATCAGGGGTGAGTCTGAATTGTCAGGGGGTTTTACTAGTGAGAGGAAGTCAGTTCTTAATTAATTCACTAAATCTGTTTCATTTGCATAACCAAAATGATACTGTAAGTGGGGCACAGGAGTGGTAACAGACCAGGGCATCCTTTCTTATGGCGAGGCTAGCCAGGACTAGCATGACACAATTTATTCACTTGTGAAGAGGACAAATAGGTGGCATTTCACTGTGAGTCACTACTAGCTAGAGCTGTTGTGTCACATACCCAATGCAATCTACCCTTAGCTCCACACTAAATTATCACCAAACACATCAGATTCCATCTGCAATCCACCTGTGCTCTTTGGGGATTCAGTCCTTGCCCAAGACTACCATACTCCTGAGTTGAGTCTAGTCATGTATACTGACTTCAACCTGTACTTAATTCCTGTGAGACCCATCTGCTTCCAAAAATCTTAAACTTTGTTCAACTAAGAAAACATGAGTCCTGCTCAAGACAGGACTAGAGCTGTACAGTGTGAAGGTCAGTGCCAGATAAGCTAGTTGAAGGAAGCACATTTTTACAGTGCTCGACTTTTTATATTCTCTTGACACTGTGTCTCTTGGTGCCTGTGGGAGAGATTTGTTAACGCTGAAGGCATCTGTGTAGTGGTGTCAGACTTCAGGAGAGTTTTCAGCAACAGCAGGATTATAAACAGCTTCAGCTGAAAAAAAAAAAAAACCCATGAAAGGAAACTATTGTTTATCCCATTTCTGCCCACTTGTGCACCAGGCTTGGTCTGTGTTAGAGCTGTCCCGTGTTGGGAGCATTTGTGTTTATTTGTTGCTGGAATAGTCAGGAAATCTGGTGTTACATTAGGTAGCTGGACTGAATTGCCAGTTGACCAGCAGATTTTTTTTGAATGTAAAATCATTTCTGGAATTAGGAAGCGTGTCCTCTCCCTGGCCGGTCTTACACTGCTGGCTTCAGCATATGCAGGGCTCAGGCAAGGGACGGGCTGACATTTTTCTCGGTGTTGATATCTTCTGCCATAGGCACGACTGTGTGTTTTCCTGCCCTGCCAGGAGGAAGGACTGCCTGCCTTGGGTCATCACTTGCTTTATAGCCTGGGGAAGGAAAAAAGCAAGGGCAATTCTGAGCTTCCCATCAGAACTCCTGAGTCACAAGGCAGAGCCTGAGCTCCACCCCGACAAACAGATCCACCATCTGAAATCTGCATGAAGTGAGCTGAGCCTTTAAGAAGTCCTCTTCATGATTAGGAGGAGAATTGTTTAACATCCTGAGGTTTCACTCTGTGCAGTGCAAAGCACAGTACCATCCACAGCATGAGCAAAAGAGCAGGCACGCAAGATTCCCTGGGCTTTATTATTCACTAGCTGGTATAGGCAACTGTTAAAGCTGTTTGCCCCCCCTCCCTAAAACAGGGTGCTGCCACTGTGACTCCAGGCCATACAAAGAGGACTGAGAGGTGCTGTTTACTGGGCATCCCTGCCTCCTCGTGCAGAAGTATTGGTTAACTTGCCAGCTCGTCTAGGAAGAGTGTTTCTCAAGTGAATTCCTCTCCCTTTCTCACCACCTGGTAATGCTGAGGGGGAATATTTCCAAAATGTTTCTAAAGAAGCAGGTCTCCAGTTCTTCATTTCTTCCTTTGTATGCCTGCTTTACTCTCCAGTGCTAGCTCAGGTTGAGGTTAGCAAGTTGTCTGGAGGTCGGGAAAGAGCTCTATCAATGCTGCGTAGAGAGAAGAGATAAAAGGGAAAAATGTTCCTTAAGGAATCTTTTTTTTTTAATGGGGAATGTAGTCATAACTTAACAGAAACACCATGGTCAAACCAAATCCTATAGGACATGACCAAGTCTCTTTAAATCTTCACTTTTCTAAAGAGGGATTTTGCAGTTCAGCATTGGTATCAAGCAACGTCTTCATCGCATTTACCCTCCTGGGTTAGTCTCTGTGCCTTCAGCCGGGCTGCACACGCTCAGCCTTTCCCACAGCCCTTGCTCAGGAGCTCGGAGCATTTCAGTGTGCCTGCTGGAGCAACAAGCCATCTGTTTACCTGGGTCGGCCATGGAGGACTGCTGGTCACACAAGTCTCCATCATGCTGCCATCATGTTCGGTCTAAGACAGAATGAGCCTTGTTGACACTGTATTTCCCACGGTTAACACCTCCCCTCTGAAGGACAGACCTTCCCTGATAACCACTGCCTCATGGCACCATGAGCAAGCCCTTTTATTGCCCCTGTTGCTGTTTTTGGCGTGCCATGTGCCCTGAGGCATTCCTCAGCCCTGCAACTGTGCAACTGCCCTCAACCCTTTGCATTGTGTGATGTGCATCTGCTCCTAGCACAAGCCTTCAGGGAGGAAGGGAGATGAATTTAGATGTTACACTCAGTGCTTCTTCCAAATACAGACCGAAGCACAAGCCAAATGTTTTTTCCTGCGCACAGAAGGAGTTGGTTGCACGAATAGCTGGTTTGGCATGACAGTACAGGACCATAAAATGGCAATTTTTTGGCTTCTCCTCTCTATGCTTTGTGTTCATATATTTTATTAGGGGAATAAAGTAGAAAGGGTGGGGGAAAGTAGTTACCTGTGTAGGGTCATTATCAGGAAGGCTGAATGGATTACGGCAATGCACATGTGGCTATCAGAAAATTGAACACTAGCTCTTCTGAACCGCAGCCCCCTTAAGCAGGTTATAACCATGCGGCGTGTTTGTTGGCTCATTGTGGAATATGGTGGACAGCCTGTCAGTATGTATTAACTGCAGATTGGGCTGACTCTCCCTATCTGGTCTCGCGTTCAGACCTTTGCTTCAGCCAGAAGGTTTTCCGTGTGCCCTCGTTGGACGTTACACTGTGGTGACTTCCCAGGAAGGTGTATAGATACGTGGCCATTCTGGCACTGCTCTCCCTCAGACCAGTCTCTGCCAACATGGCCTGGAGAAGGGAAAAGCAAGAAGCACAGACCCTGACTCTGTTGCAACATTAAAAAGCCCTAAAATCTGCAGAACTACTGGGCACTCTCCTAAATGCAGGTTGCATGCAAGAAAGCAAATCATTCCTTGTTCCAGTCTTTGCACCAAACCAGATGGTCTTCTCAGGCCCCATTTTCAGTCCAAAGTTGTACAGAATACCAAGGGAAGGAGCACCATGGAGTATGAAAGGCTGCATTGCTGTCCGTCTAAATTACCATGCAAATAGGATTCAAGGATATTGATGCTGGTGCCTCCACAAAGAGATTTGCACTTCATGCGTCCTAAACCTAGACTGGCTTTTTATTAGGATTTTATGTAATTTCAGTCACCAAATTACCTGAGCTGAAGAAGTCCTTTCGTGTTATCAGATGTTAATTTTGGCCTTTAATGTGAGCTGGCTTTGAACTCCAGGGTCTCAGCACTCAACTCTGTCTCTCCCATCTGCAAACTCCCCATTTTCATATGTCTGTTTGAGGAGGAACATCCTCCTAGTGTTGAGGAAGGTCTTTAGATAGCATGGCCTCATCTGCTTTTCTGGTGGTTGTAAATAAACTTTGGCCAAAAGGAGGCTGATGTCCAGGTGACCATCCCGAAGGGTGATTTGATGTCTTATCAGACATATCTTGAAGCCAACCTTTGGAAAAGTCACTGGATCATATCTGCCGTTGCTGCATGTCCACCCCTCAGTGTGTATGCTTGGCCATTGGGTCCGCTGTGCTCTTCTGGCTGTCTTGCCAGACTTGTGACTGCAAAAGCAGGCAACAGCCTACTGCGTGGACTTTGAAAGGGATGTCAGGACTCTCCCCCATGGACAGGATGGATGCAGCTGCTTCTGATTTATCTCTCCAGCTCCTTTCCCAAAAGGAGGCACCCGTTCTGCTCAGCTGTGTGCTGGCTAACACATTGGTCTGCGATCCTGAGCAGAATCCTCTCCTCTCCATGCAGACTCTGTCCTCAGGCTGGCCCACAAGCTGTACAACGGCATGCAGGAGGCTTGAAAAGTACAGCGCCCTGTATGTGACTCAACAGAAATGTGAAGATGCTTTTGAAGAAAGGAAGGACCCAGCTGGGCACCAGATGGAACACAGGAAAAGGAAAACAAGCAGTAACTAGAAAGGTTGCCAAGTGCTGTCTTGGCCTAGGGCAGATCCCAGTTGTCCGAGTTAATCTATCTCAGTGCCGTGCTGATACCAGCAGGGAGCAAAACTCACTTTCAGATGCACACACCAGAAACACCGTGTCCCCGAGCTGGCACTGCAGCCAAATACTACTGCAGAGAGTCTGTTGGACTGCTAGAGCACAGAAATGAGATCTGGGGTCCCTTGCTGCTCTTGGTGCATGGTATACATTTGCTCTAACCTCAAGCAAGTCACATCCCCTCTTGATGTCTCTTCTCTTCTGCAACACAGGGGAGAAACCTGCCTTCCCAAGATGCTACCACCACCCTGCCTGGATGTTGCCAAGTGTGTGATGGGCACCATTAATAGCCTGCAAGCAAGACACGAAAAGCACACTATAGAAATTTTATGCATATTTTCAAAGTACTACTCTGCTTTCCCTCTGTTTACCAGCTTGTGATGTTGCCTGCACGTGCCAGAAGGCTGCAGGGTGGAGGTTAGTGGAGAGATTAAACAGCTTTGGGGGAAGATGTTTGGCAAGGATGTGTTTCCTAGTTATTTGGCAGCTGGCTCTCACACAGCTGGGTTCTCAATCTGCATGCTGCCACAGAGAACATGTGAGAAGACTTGGTGGCCCAACAGCACCGTCCCCTCTGAGT